TCATTGTTGTTTGGCAGGCCTGGGCTGGGGATTTGAACCCGCCACCTTAGGTGTATGTGGCTGGCGCCTTAGCCACTTGAGCCACAGACGCCGAGCCAATTTGACAGTTTTTCAATTGATATATTTATCCCTTTCTTACAAGCTTTGTAGGAATTCTTTACATATATGTTCAGAATGTGACTCCCTTGTCAGCTGTGTTAACGCTGGCTTTTCCTAGTATCTATGTTGGTCTTATGTAGCTTATCTTTTTATTCTATATGGTGTTTTGTTAAGAGAAAATTTTTTTTTTTTTTTTTTAGACAGAGTCTTACTATATCACTTTCAGTGGCATGCTGTGGCGTTGCAGCTCACAGCAACCTCAAACTCTTGGACTTAAGCGATTCTCTTGCCTCAGCCTCCCAAGTAGCTAGGACTACAAGTGCCTGCCACAATACCTGGCTGTTTTTTTGTTGGAGTTGTTATTGTTGTTTAGCAGGCCCGGGTCAGGCTCAAACCTGCCAGCCTCAGTGTATGTGGCTGGTGCCCTACTCACTGAGCTATGGGTGCTGAGCTGAAAAAATTCTTAATATGGTAAATTGTTTCCTCAACATTTTTCTTCATGGTTTATATGTTGTTTGTCCTTTTCAGAAATCCTTCCATGACCTCAAGACACATGGATATTTTCCTGTGTTATATTTCCCAGTTTCATTATGTATTGAATGGTTGTTGCTTTCCCATTTAAAGTTTTTACCCACTTAGAATTCTTTTTTATTTAAAAAAATGTTTACAGCTTTATTGAATATCATTGGCCATAAGAATTAAAGCGTGTACTTTAAGTTTTGACTCGTATACATAGACACATTGAAGTCATTGCCATAATCAAGATAATGAACATATTTATGGCCCCAGAGTTTCCTAGTACATTTTATGTTACCTTACCCCCAATCCCTTGGTTTCCCATCCCCCAACTCCACCCCACTCTCAGCCTGTCAACCAGAAATTTACTCTATCACTATAAATTAGTTTGTGTTTTCAAACATTTATTTATTTATTAATTTTTAGAGACAGGTTCTCTGTCACTAAGACTAGAGTGCAATAGTGTGCTCATAGCTCACTATAATCTCCAACTCTCAGGCTCAAGTGATCCTCTTGGCTCAACCTCATTAATAACTACAACTATAGGGGTAAGCCACCATGCCTGGCTGATTTTTTTTTTTTTAATTTATTTTTGTAGAGACAGGCTTTTACCATGTTTTCCAGGCTGGTCTTGAACTCTTTGGCTCAAGTAATTCTCTCCCACCTCAGCCTTCCAAAGTGCTAGGATTATAGGCATGAGCTACTGTGCCTGGTTGCAAACATTTTATAAAAATAGAACTATAGGCTCGGCGCCT